AATATTCCATTGTGTATATGTACCACATTTTTAAAATCTATTCTTCAGTTAATGGGCACTTAGGCTGTCTCCATCTTTTTGCTATTGCAAATAGTGTTGCTATGAACATTGGTGTGCATATATCTACTCATGTTATGGTTCATATTTCTTGTGGGTAAATACCAAGTATAGGAATTGCTGGATCATAAGGTATTTCTTTTTCCAACCTTCTGAGGAAGCACCATATCACTTTCCAGAGAGATTGGACCATTTTGCAGTCTCACCAGCAATGCAGGAGGGTCCCAGTCTCTCCACATCCCTGCCAGCATTTATTGTCCTCTACTTTTTTGATCTTTGCTGTTACTGCTGGTGTGCGATGATATCTCATTGTTGTTTTGATTTGCATCTCTCTAATGGCTAGCAATCATGAACATTTCTTCATATGGTTGTTAGCTGCCTGGATCTCCTCCTTGGTGAAGTGTCTGTTCATGGCTTGTGTGTAGCAATATATATATATATTTTCATGTTTTATTGTGAATTATATGATATTTTACATGAGAAAACTTTAGTTTTACATTCATTCCACTGTATATCGTTTCATTGCCATGGTTCCAGTCCCCTCCATGCATCATCAACCCCCCAAAGGGTATACCCTATAAACCCACCCCCTACACTCCCCTGCCCCCCATTCTTCAGCACACAGTCCTTCTCCCTCTCTGGATTCAAAGTCCCCAGCCGCTTCATCACTTCACGTCATCGTCTCTGTAGCAATACTTTTTGACTTATCCTTATATTTGGCAGTGGATTGATGTAAAGATCTTTGAAATTCATTTTTCAACCTCTTAGAATAAGTTTATAACAGTATGAACATCACACACAAGTAAAATTTTACTGAGCTAATTATGTTTGCAAAAGGAGATCAACAGGGAATTGCCAGAAAGTCAAACCAGATTTAGAAGAGGACATGGAACAACGAATATCACTGCTGATGTCTGATGAATGTTGACTAAAAACAGAGAATACGTGTGTTTTATTGATTATGCAAAGGCATTCTACTGTGTGGATCATAACAATGAAAAGAATGAGAATTCTAAAACACTTATTTGTGCTCATGCTGAGCCTGTACAAGTATCAAGAGGCTGTTGTTTGAACAGAATCAGGGGATATTGCATAGTTTAAAAGCAGGAAGGGTGTGCATCAGGGGTGCATCCTCGTGCCATACTATTCAATCTATATGCTAATCAAGTAATCTGAAAGATGGACTATATATGAAGAACATGGCATCAGGATAGGAGAAAGGTCCATTAACAACCTGTGATGTGCAGATGATACTATAACCTTGATTGCTGAAGGCACAGAGGACTTGAAGTACTTGCTGCTGAAGATTAGAGACAATAGCAGAGAATACTGGAAAGATGTTTACCTGTGTTTTATTAAAGAAATAAAGGCATTCTACTGTATGGATCATAACATTATGAATAACATTGCAAAGAATGGGAATTCCAGACAACTTAATTGTGTTCATGTGGTGCCAGTGAGGATAAAATAGAAGAATTCTACCAACTTCTTCAATCTGAAATTGATCAAACATGCAATCAAGAGGTATTGATCATTACCGGTGATTAGAATGCAAAGGTTGAGAGCAAAGAGGAAAGATCAGTAGTTGGAAAATATGACCTTGGTGATAGAAATGATGCTGGAGATTGCATGATAGAATTCTGCAAAATCAATGATTTGTTCACTTCAAATACCATCTTTACACAGCATAATAGATGACTATACACATGGACCTTGCCAGATGTAATACATAGAAATCAAATTGACTACATCTGTGGAAAGAGAAGATGGAAAAGCTCCATGTCATCAGTCAAAACAAGACAAGGGGCAGACTGTGGAACAGACCATCAATTGCTCATATGCAAATTCAAACTGAAGCTGAAGAAAATGAAAACAAGTCCAAGAGAACCAAAATATGACCTTGAATATATTCCACCTGATTTAGATCATCTGGAGAACAGATTTGATATGTTAAACACTAAAGACCAAAGACCAGAAGAGTTGTGTGATGACATCAAAAACATCATACATGAAGAAAGCAAAAAGTCATTAGAAGACGAGAAAAAAGGAAAAGATCAAAATGGATGTCAGAAGAGACACTGAAACTTGCTCTTCAGTGTAGAGATGCTAAAGAAAATGGAAGAAATAAGGAGGTACAAGAGCTGAACAGAAAAATTCAAAAGTCAGCTCAAGAAGATAAAGCCAAATATTACAACAAAATGTGCAAAGATCTGGAGTCAGAAAGCCAAAAAGGA